TGATTCACTGAGCTGCTCTTTGAAAAATAGAATTCTGCAGTCCAGGGAGTTTGCGAAACACAACCCACCATATGATCTCCTCTCAGAGAATCCCGAGGCTCTGACAGGACCTGAAGAAAAGCTTCCTGCTAAAGGTCACGTAACCCAGTATTTCACTGATAGTTGATAGACAGACAGATGGACAGAGAGACAGATGGTAAATATGTGAGAGAGGAAGGGAAAAAGAGGGAGAGAGATTGAAATTGATTTTGTAGTTACATAAACTCCATGGAACACACGTTTAAGTAACACTGACCTAGACCAACCTTCTTCATTTTATAAATGAAAAAAAAAAAAGTGAAGAAACAGGGGCTCAGAAAGGGCTCTGCCCAAGGTCACAGGTCACACCACTAGTAAAAGGCAAAGGTGGGACTAGAACCCAGGCCTCCTAATGCTCAGGTCCAGGTTCCTTCCAACAGACTCTGTTCCATTTTTGTACTTAACTCTAAACCCCAGGATTTCTGGGAATCAAAGAGATCAATGTTATTTTCAAAACAAACCCTGGTGTTTGTGATTGTGCTTGGTGCCTTCACATGGCCTCCCTCCCAGGCACACCCCGTGCTGCGGAAGACTCCCCTTCCTTCATCCCAGACTCCCAGGTCCACTGTGAGGGGTGGCGGGGCCCAGGGCAGAGGCCTGACCGCCACGCCTGATATGGGCTGCTGACTCCGGCAAGGGCAGGGGCCTGGAGACCGGGATCCAGCCACTGTCCTTGAGGTGGGGAGGCAGGCTTCCTGACAGGTATACTCAAATAGGGACAGGAGCTCATGCCCCTCCTCACTCAGCCAAAGTCCTGACACCCTGCCTCCCACATCCAACCCCCTGAGCTCCCAGCCACAGTGTCCTCTCCCTCACTGCACACACCTGGCACAGATAGATAGATGCCCAATGCCCTTGGTGGGCACGCATATCCACTGCCCCCCACCACACTGTCACTGCTGAATGGCTACTTGATGCTTCCTGCAGGCACTTCCCGTCTCCCCACATGGCCTTAAGGCTTCTAGAGTGCAGGGAAGACCCTAATTTCCACTGCCTCCCACAGAGACAAGTGCCAGGCTCTGCAGGACCCATGCATGGAAAGAAGAGAACCGCCCTGCGGTGCCTGGCGTGCTGCTCAGCACACAGCAGGCACAGAGGGGTGTCTGGGGTTTATCAGCAACTCCCTTATCGAACCACAGAAAAGAATTCGTGTTGAATATCTGTGATCGGACAGAGAGCCGGGAGGATCTGCTGGAGGGACTGTGATGTCACACTGTCGATCAGCTTGTCAGGGTCTCAGGTCCCTGAACAGCACAACGTGGGGGCTGAAGACGTAGGAGGACATTTCTGGCTCTCAAACTCTCATTCGATTATAGACTCACAGAGAGGGAGAGCCCAAGCGCTTCCCATTCTCTCCTCCAGCTTGTTAGCGTAGCAGAAACTGACCATGAACAAAGCCTTGGGGGGAGAAGGCTGTGTTTGTGTCCAGGCTCACACAGGGCACTACCCTTCCCCAACTCAAGGCACCTCACAGGAGTAAATCTGGCAAGACAGACTTCAGACCCAAAAGCCAGTGGGTTTTGATACCTCAACCAAAGTTACATAAAATAGGAGATGCGGCCGCAAAGACAGATTCTCTGGGCCCAGATAGTCAGGATCAGATGCAGACAGAAAGCTGTGGGGTGAGTCATCTCCTGATCTTTCCGCTAAGATCTCTGTGCGGAGCCCTTTCACCTCCTCAGATCCCCTCCCCACCCCAGACCTCTGCAGACTGTTGCTTGAGCCCTCTGCAGTGAGCAAGCAGGGATGTCCATCAGGAACTCAAAACCCCAGCATCCAAGCCCTATTTCCCCTATTTTCCCCAGCCCCATCCATCTTGGAGGCTTCTCTGCTGCTGGAATGAGGATGTGGGGTGACACCAGAGGCCTGCACTGCGTGGCACTATTGCTCACACTTCCCCCTTTACCAGGGAGCAGGGCACCTGGGGGTGAGGGCAGGGCAAACAGCAGAATAGACAGTCAACAGCAGCAGTGTTTATATCTGTCCCTTTGTCTGGGACACACAGCCCAGTTCCTGAGGGCCTGCCAGGGTGGCCTATTGTCTGGCATTGTTTGCCTTTGGGGCGATAGGTGCCCTGGAGTTGGGGGGAGGGGGTGGTAGGGAAGAGACAGGCTGAGTGGGGGTGGGGAGCAGGATCCAGCTCCAGACCAGGCAGCCAGCTTTGGTGCCAAAGGCCATGGCTTATGAAGCCCCTGGGCAAGGAGCCAAGGGCCTGCCCACTCTTCTCTCTGCAGCTCAGAAGGCCTGGTGATGGCAGGAACTTCCCCCCTCTAAAAAAGACCCCTCAGAACCACTGTTTTCCCTCTCCCAGGCCCCTCAGGGCCCAGATCACTTCCCAGAGCTCTCTGCTCTCCCACCCCTGCACACACACCCTTGCCCTTGTGTGCACATGTGTGAGAGGTGGCTGGCCTTACAACTCTACCCTCCTAAACCGTGACCTGTCCCCTGACTGCCTCAGACCAGCTGGTCCATGAGTGGCTCTCCATCAGCGCCTCATCTGATTATACATATGCACAGAACCACTCCACACCACTCGGCTGTTCCTATCTGAATGAGGCAGCCTGGGTGCAGAGATCTGTCACCCAGAACTGTGAGACCCTGAGCAAGTCACTTCCTCTTTGAAGACGAGGGATTGGGTTCCTGAATCTCTAAAAGCCCTTCCAGCTTCAAAGTCACATAACCAGAACCGTAGGGTGAGGATCTTAAGCCCTCCTAGACAGCAGAGTGGAACTCAATACTACAGAAACACAATAGGAAAGATCCGTGCCTTTGGCCAGAGACAGTTCAAGCCACCAACCAATATATGGGGTTTTTTTTCGGTGTTTATACTACACTTTGTGCACATGCCACACTCTGGGCCATACACAGAGGGCCCACATGTTGCATATTATCACACTGTAAGGTGTGATATACATTTTGAAGTATATTCCACACTTTAAGGTATACCCATGCTTTGAGGTATATACACACTTTAGGGCATACAGACACTTTGCAGTATGTAACATTTTGTGTGTATCCACACACTTGGGCTACATCCCATACTTTGTGTATATAGCACACTTTAGGTAGAGACTTCACTGCTGGGAGCATTCTATAGTGTCAATGTAATTTTGGCAAGGCTCTGAGGTTAAGAGTACAGACCCTGGAACCTGATAAAGCCGGGTATGATGCATCTCCACCACTTGTTAACCTTGAGCAAAGCACTTGCACTCTGAGACTCAGTTTCTTCACCTGTAAAATGGAGATAAAAATAGTATCTACCTCATAGGTTTTGCGGGGAGAGTAAATGAAGCAGAGCCCATGATGGGCTCATCATAGTGCCCAGGACATAAGAAACACTTAGTAAATGGTATCCTTGTTATTGCTGGCACTTTCAAAAGTGTTTTATAATGTAATGTACTATTTAATTTATATATATACATACATATATATGTATGTGTGTGTGTGTATATATATATATATATATATATATATATATAATCAGATGTTCCCAGAGTCTCAAAGCTTTCGAAACTCAGATAACAAACAGAACCATTTAATTCATATTTATTTCACATTTGATCTGTAAACTTTTTATTAAAAAAAATTCACCATCATTAGCAACATGTGCTGACATTAGTTTGTCTTTAGTGAAATAAGAGCGCAGGCCTTAGAGAGTCTCTGTCTAAAACACGTAGAAACTCAGATGTAAACACGAGGTCTCTGCCCTTCTCCCTTGATTTGGGGAGTTCATCAATGACATGATCTCAACCAGAAAAGCAGGGGGGAAAGGACAACACTTTGATACCTAAGAGCTCTTGGGGCAGGAACTGTACAGTTTGGCAGGCTCATTTGTCTTCTCAAACTGTTTACCTTGGGCAAATTGTATCAGGTTTGCTTCTTCCACATAATTTCCACTCCTCCGTCTAAAAACAGCAGCCAAAAGATTTCTTGCAGTCAGCACTTTTGGGGAGGGAGGGGCAGGTGCAGAAACATACAAGATAGAAACATACATATTCTTCAAGCAGTGGCCCTGGAGAGAGGAGGGAAGGAAGGAAAGAGGGAGGGAGGGACACAGGAAAGAGATACTTTTAAAGTGAGTTGCTGGGGTGAAGGGTGCATCAGAGGATAATGGCTTTATACACAGGGCTGCTGCACGGCAGAAAGGTTCCTTTACTTCTGTCTTGGTCCTTCCTTGTAGTATTTACATAGGAAAAGGCAATTATGCTGTTAGGCACAGGAAAAAAATGGACAGAAATCTTTTCCCCCTCAGGATATCTCAAAGCAGGTCCAGGCCCAAGGGACAGTCACCAGTTGCTGGTGAAAAGGACACAGGAGGTAATGACACCGGAAAACGACTTGCATTACAAAGGGGGTTGGCCTGAACCAAAGACAATGTATCAGCCTCAAGGGCATCTCCAACAGCATCAAAAGCCCAGACATTGGGGATCCTAGCGTGTACTATCAAAAATAGTATTTACAGTGGGGGATAGGGGGATGGGCAGGGCTGCCCTGAGCATTTGTTTAAAAACAGAGTTAGAATAAGGGGGAGAGCAATTAGCCAGGGCTGGGTAACCCCATCCATTAATCCTTTGTGAGCAGTACCCTCTGGGGCCCAATGTTTGCTTGCTCTGATCGGCATTGAGAACTGGACTCAGGGGAGGTGAAAATACCTTTAGGGAACAATACTGATTAGGGAGGGCCCAAGAACCCAGGAAGATCGGTCCAAGTCACAAGCGGCCCTAACAACAACTGGGGGGAGCCGGTGACCCTCTCAGCCTTTTCCCTGAGAGGGAAGAACAGAGGCCACGGAGCAAGGCCGGGCCAGGAAACACGGAGCAGGCAGGACCCGGGTTTCAGTGTGCTGGGCTATATAGACGCTCCCCTCGGTCCCCGCTGACTGCAGTGGGCGCCAGTCTGTTGGCGGGTCGCGGACCCGGCGCTCACACGATCCGTTTCCTGTCCCCCCGACAGAGGATCTTCTTGAAGGCGCGGCGGAAGTCGTGGTTGAAGATGGTGTAGATGACCGGGTTCAGGGAGCTGTTGCAGTAGCCGAACCAGAAGAAGAACTTGAAAAGCGTGCGCGGCACGGAGCAGCCCACTGCCGTAAGCGTGTAAGTGAAAAAGAAGGGGAACCAGCACACCACGAACACGCCGATGACCACGGCCAGCACGAACGTGAAGCGCTTTTCGCGGTTCTGCCGCCCGCGCCAGCGCGACGCCTTGGCGCCCCCGCCGCGCTCCTCCCCGGGCCCCGCCGCCGACGCGCCGGGCCCCGTTGCCCCCGGCCCACGCCGGGGCAGG